CATGTGGATGAGGGGTGGTAAGGCGGGTGACGAGGCGGATGAGGAGGAGGGTGAGAAGGAGGATGAACAGTACAAGGGCGACGAAAAACGGTAGTCTATCTCTCCAGGACGACGCCATGGGAGCGTATAGCTTTGAGGGGGCGGCGCCCCAGACACGCAGACTCGGATTTGCGCCCGAGTGTCCCCGCCACCCCCGTCGGCGCAACATGAATGACCAAAGGTCTAGGGCTGGACGGCCCCCGAAGCAATTCATGTTGCGCCCGCGGGGGTGGCAAGACACTCGGGTGGACATCCGAGTGTCTACGTGTCTGGGGCGCCGCCCCCTCAAAGATAGACGCTCCCACGGCGTCGCCCCGGAGTGGTAGACGCTCAAGCGCAAACCCGAAAGTCTATCTCTCCCCGGCCGAGCACCGACATCTGAACCCCCAATATGTAGGGTGGGCGTCCGACACAGGTGGTTGGGCAAGGGCAACGCCCTGGAGGGATAGACACCCGGGCACAAACCCGAGTGTCTATCTCTCCCCGGCGACGCCGCTTACGGCCAAGCACTGACATCTTATTCCTCGAGATGGAGGGTGGCGGCGGGCGTCCGACGCAGGCCATTCGGTAAGGTCATCGCCCAGAGAGACAGACACCTGGGCGCAAACCCGAGTGTCTATCTCTCCCCGGCGACGCCGCGTACGGCCAAGCACCCCATTTTGAGTTCTACAAGGGGGAACTTCCGCGGCGTGTTCGAAAAGGCTAGCGGCGAACGGGAAAACAAACGCGAAGAGGACCCCAAGAGGAGCCACAACCATACAGCTCAGTGATCTATCTGGTTTTTGGCTCTCCTGGAGCCTCTTGGACCTTTCTTGGAGCTCTGCAGGACCCTCCTGTGGCCCTCTTGAGGCTCTCTTGGAGGCCTCTTGGGGCCTCTCCTTAGGGCTCTCCAAGGAGCTCGGAGGGGCTCCGAGAAGGGCCAAAACCACATAGATCGGTGATCTGGTTGTCGGTCCTCTTGGAGTCCTCCTGGAACACCTGGAGACAATGCAGGGGCAAATAACTGACACAATTGTGACCCACTATCTATCTTTGAGTCTCACTATCAGTCAGTCTCACGATTCGTCTCACAATCGACCCACTATTTCTCTATCGGCTACACGATCAATCTCGCAATCGATCCCATTATCCATCAGTCTCACAATCGACCGGTATCGCACGCTCGATTCCACTACCTACATATCGGTCTCACTATCGACCTACAGATCTATCAGTCCCACTATCGATCTACCGACACCATCGAAACACCATCGGGACACCATCGGGATATCCCCGCGCCACCGCCAGCCTCTTTGGGGGAGCAACATTTGGCCCAGCTTCGCTCTAGCAACGCACCATCGGGACAGCGTCGGGACACCCCGCGACACCGCTGGCCAACCAGGGGGAACAAAGTTTGGCCCAGCCTCGCCCTAGCAACAGCGGGTTTATTCCTCTCGCCCACCTGCGCAATTTCGCCTCGCCCGCGCGCGCGACCGAACCGATTGCCCGGCGAGGGGTCTCCGTTCCTTTTCGGTCTCACCCCCCAAACCTCCGACGCATGCGCTTTTGTGATTGTGTGCGTTGATTTACATCGTCTGATTGCATAGACGTCAACGGATGCACGTGAGATTGTGAGTGCAGGTGCGTAGCATGGCATGCCAATGTACAAGAACGTGTGCAAGCATGTGTACACGGACGAGTTCCCGTGTGCATGTATGTGTATGTGTCGATGTAGGCGCACGCATGCGAAGCTGTGGGACACATGTACATGCGATGTACATGTATGTATGATTGCATGATATACATACATATACATATACATATATTTGTATATATACACATACATATATACATGTGTGTTGCGTGTCTGTTATTGTGCATGTGTGCGCACGCTTGGACGTGAAGGACGTGGAGGAAAAAGGCGGGCCGCCGCCCGCCACTCGCAGCCCAGAGGGGGAAAGGGAGAGACCGACGAAAAAGAAAGGCGAGGCCTAACCAAAAGCAAGCCGCGGACCGGGGACCGGGGACCGGACACCGCGGACCGGGGACCAGTCGGAGAAATTCCGCCATTGTGCCAGGGCCCTGAGTCTTCTACGATATTGTAGTTTACTTCGCGATGTGACCCCGCCGCGCCCCTCTGGGCACCGTAGACACATCATCCAGGGTCGCGTTGCTCGGCCGATTCTGAACTTCGCGGGAGGCCGCAGCCCTAGAATGAGTGCCTGTGGTCGTCGGGGACACGTGGGGCACCTGCTGGCAGGCCGATACATTGTTCTGCGTGGCAGCTGTAGCCTTGCTTAGGTCGGGCATGTCCTCCTACAGGCGGATTGTGGATGAAAGATAAGGGATAGTCAGCAAATTCTGAGGAACAGAAAAATACTGGGAAAAGAGAGTTCGTCCTAATGGTGAAATCAGACACCACGCAAAAACACCACGCAAATACACCACGCAAAAACACTACGCAAAAACACCACGCGAACGCTGGAGGGTGAATTAGACATCACGCAAATACACCACGCAAAAACACCACGCAAAAACACCACGTAGCGGTTTTGCGTGGTGTTTTTGCGTGGTGTGTTTGCGTGGTGTTTTTGTGCGCCGCTGGGGCGGCGCGGGGACGCAGTGGGGCAGGTCGCGGTTCACGTGGTGTGTTTTTGCGTGGTGTTTTTGCGTGGTGTATTTGCGTAGTGTATTTGTGCGCCGCTGGGGCGGCGCGGGGACGCAGTGGGGCAGGTCGCGGTTCACGCGGCGTGTTTTTTTGTTCTGCGTGGTGTTTTTGCGTGGGGTATTTGCGTGGTGTTTTTGTGCGCTGGGGCGGCGCGGGGACGCAGTGGGGAAGGTCGCGGTTCACGTGGTGCTTTTGCGTGGTGTTTTTGCGTGGTGTTTTTTTGCACCGCTGTGGCGGCGCCGGAGCGCCGTGGGACAGGTCGCGGTTCACGTGGTGTGTTTTTGCGTGGTGTTTTTGCGTGGTGTATTTGCGTAGTGTATTTGTGCGCCGCTGGGGCGGCGCGGGGACGCAGTGGGGCAGGTCGCGGTTCACGCGGCGTGTTTTTCTGCGTGGTGTTTTTGCGTGGTGTTTTTGCGTGGTGTATTTGCGTGGTGTTTTTGTGCACCGCTGTGGCGGCGCGGGGACGCAGTGGGGCAGGTCGCGGTTCACGTGGTGCTTTTTTTTGCTATGCGTGGAGCGGCGCCAGGGCGCCCAGGGGCGCAGCTGGAGCGCCGCTGCAGTGCCGCTGCAACGCCCCTGGAGCGCAGTGGGGCAGGTCGCGGTTTACGTGGTGTTTTATACGTCGTCCTCCATGTCCTCCTCCTCACACATTTCCTCCTCCTCCCTCCTCCTCCTCCTCCTCCTCCTCCTCCTCCTCCTCCTTCTCCTTTCAAAGATAGCGGCTGCACCCCTTCTTTGCTCCTGCGCTTCCCTGGCCACCTCAACCTGACCGGGCATCGTTTTTGGATGGGCCAGTGGCGCAGAGCGTCAAGAATCCAGCTCCTACTGGAGCGGCGTGGGGGCACTGGAGCGGCGCAGGGGCGCCGTGGGGCAGGTCGCGGTCTACGTGGTGTCTTTGCGTGGTGTTTGCGTGCGCCGCTGGAGCGGCGCCGGAGCGCCGTCGGGCAGGTCGCGGTTTGCGTGGTGTTTTTTTTTTCCGCGTGGTGTTTTTGCGTGGTGTTTGCGTGCGCCACTGGAGCGGCGCAGGGGCGCCGTGGGGCAGGCCGCGGTTTACGTTGTGTTTTTTTTGCGTTATGTTCGCGTGCGCCGCTGGAGCGGCGCGGGGGCGCAGTGGGGCAGGTCGCGGTTTACGTGGTGTTTTTGCGTGGTGTTTTTGCGTGGTGTTTGCGTGCGCCGCTGGAGCGGCGCAGGGGCGCAGTGGGGCGGGTCGCGGTTTACGTTGTGTTTTTGCGTGGTGTTTTTGCGTGGTGTTTGCGTGCGCCGCTGGAGCGGCGCAGGAGCGCAGCTGGAGCGCCGCTGCAGCCCGCTGCAGCGCCGCTGCAGCACCCCAGGAGCGCAGTGGGGCAGGTCGCGGTTTACGTGGTGTTTTTGCGTGGTGTTTTTTTGTGGTGTTTTTGCGTTGTGTTTGCGTGCGCCGCTGGAGCGGCGCGGGGGCGCAGTGGGGCAGGTCTCGGTTTACGTTGTGTTTTTGTGTTGTGTTTGCGTGCGCCGCTGGAGCGGCGCGGGAGCGCCGTGGGGCGGGTCGCGGTTTACGTGGTGTTTTTGCGTGGTGTTTGCGTGCGCCGCTGGAGCGGCGCCGGAGCGCCGTGGGGTGGGTCGCGGTTTACGTGGTGTTTTTGCGTGGTGTTTGCGTGCGCCGCTGGAGCGGCGGTTTACGTGGTGTTTTTGCGTGGTGTTTGCGTGGTGTGTTTACGTGGTGTATTTTATTTCACCATTAAGGTATTATATTTCACCATTAAGGTATTCTATTTCACCATTAAGAAATTCGATTTCACCATTAAGATTTCTATTTCACCATTAAAACGCTTATTTCACCATTAGGAGAAACCGTCCTGGGAAAATCGTTCCCAGAGCATATTTTTACTATTTTGGAATCTTCCTCCTGTGGAGGGACGTGCCCGACTGAACTGTAGGCCTCGAGCATCGAAATTCGAGTGCTCGTCTTTTATTGTTTTTCCAGCCTGTCTGGGCCTGAGGGGCGCTTGTCGCCGCGGGAGCTCTGTTCTCCTCGACGTTCTGGGCAGGCAAGACGTACCCCTGGAGAGGCCTGGGGTGCCGATCCCCTCGCCACAACGCCACGGCTCGACTCACCACGGCCCCTTCGCCTCGAGATATCGACCAGAACGCCTACATGGATATGTCTGTGGCTCCGACCTGGAGGGTCGTGGGGAGGGGGGAGCGAAGACACGGCGGGGGACCACAGAGACCGCAGCTCTCGTGTGGCGAATCAGAAGGACGAGGAGGGGGGCCACGTGCCTCCATGGAAGGCTGCCTCTCGCCCCGGCCCCCCCCCCTCTGCGCAGCCGCCGGGGGCCCTCCTGAGGGTAGGCCACGTGGGACCGGCCCGCGCAGCCGCCCCACTGCTCGTGGTGCTGCTGGGGGAAGTAGCCCTGCCCGCTCCAGGCGGGGTCCTGCGGAGGGGGAGCTGCAGAGGGGGAGAGTGGCCCGGGAGGGGGGGGGGGGACACTGACGCGGAACCGGCGGCACATCGCCGATGGGCCAGCGACAGGCCCGACGATAGAGAAGCCGCACGTTCCTGGGCACAGCGGGGGTCTGGGCCCCGATGGGCGAGGAATGGGCGAGGGGGGGTCGATGCTCGCCCACTGGGCCATCCCTCCGCTGTGATGTCGGGTGTCGCCACAGGCGTCCCTGGCCCAAGGTGTCCCCAGGATCCCTGGGGAGGCCCAGATGACCTCCAGAGCTGTCCTCACGAGGCCGGCCCAGGAAGGGCCCCGAAATGGCGCGAAGAGCCGGGAGCACTTGGGACCGTGACCACCTCCAGCAACACCCGACCGTTGCTCCCGGCCTGCGCGTAGCCCATGCCGTACACGCCGCCATGCATGGCCTGGAACTCGGCCTGCGCCTGCGCCGCATGCGCCGCCTGCGCCTGCGCAGCCTGCGCAGCCTGAGCAGCCTGCGCCCGCGCCGCCTGCGCCCGCGCGGGCGAAACGCCGCCGGGCGCCTGCGCCCTGACGGCGCTGTAAAGCTCCTGGGGGAACCCAAATAGCCCAAAAGATACTGACACGGCCACTCCGTGGACCTCTCCTGGGGTGCGCTCGGCCTCGGATTTCGAGGACAATCCGGCCGTGGCGACGAAGGCTCTCCAGGACCTGTGGACTCCAGGACGACCAGCGGTGTCCGTAACGACCCTTTCTTCGTCTGAGCTCCTGCGCCGCGGCGGGCTGCGAGCCGTCTTGCGGGTGCGCGCTCAGCTGCAGCTGCTGCCCCGCTGGCGGGCCGGCGCCCTCGGAGCCGCCGGCGCCGAAGAGCTTCGACGGCGCCGCCTCGCCGCGCAGGGCGCAACCGAGGGGCGTCAGAGGCCCTGAGCGCACGGCGCCGCGAGCGTGAAGCTCGAAGGGCAGGCTGGAGCCAGTCTTCATCTCTATGCAGAACTCCAGGTCGCCCGCCTGCCGGCTGTGGCTCGAAGTGGTCCTGGCCCATAGGGTCCCCCCCCGAGCTGTTCGCGCGCTCGTGGGCCCCCCCGGGGGCCCTCTGGACCTCGTGAGTGGTGCTCTGGGAGCCGTCTGCGCCAGCCATGGGAAAGCTGGGGTCACCTTGGGCCAGGGCCGCTTCCAGCAGCGCCCGGCGCCTGGCTCCAGCGAGGGGCCCAGCCCCTGCGGAGCGCGCTGCCGGCCTGGCGCGCCACGGCGCCGTCCTCCTGCGCCCGCAGCTCCTGCTCGACCACCACGCTCGCCCGCAGGGTGGATGCGGCCGGCACGTGGCACTGGCAGGCCCAGTGCGGATAGCCCACGCGGAGCAGCCTGCCGCCCCGCGCGAATTGCGGCAGCGGGCTCCGCTGCAGCTGGGAGCCGTTCCAGTGCACCACCGAGGGGGGCTCCTCGAGGGGCGAGCTGGACTCAGAAGTGACGAAACACATCCAGCACGATGTTTGATGAGCCTGTCAAGGAGGAGGAGGAGGAGGAGGATTAAGAGCGCATGGAACGAATCATCACAGGGCTCTGGGCTCACAGGGGCATTGAAGTGTCGATCGTGTTCATCCGCGGCTTCTTGCGAAGCCGACGCAGACGGCGCTGATGCGAACGCTCAAAGCCGTGCATGTCCAGCAGCTTCGGCCCATCCATCTGCGGATGGCAGCTGCCGCAGGGGGTGTCCTTCTGAGAGCTGAACGCCATAGACGGCGGGTCCGAGCTGGCATCATAGCCGACCACGTAGTCGAAGAAAAGAGGAGTGCCCAGAATCCACACGGGGCCGTTGGTCTCGGTGGTAAAGTCGGCGGTGTTGAAGGCGGGGGAGCACACTTTGCCAGTCTTGTTGCCGGCGCCGCTTGCGCTAGCGTTCAAGGATCTGGACTTCCCGGCCATGAAGCTGTGCAGCTGCAAGGCCTCCATCTTCGACGCCGGCGACTCGATCACGTAGGCACTGCTTGTGATCGTCAGCGTCTGCTGGGTCTCGTTGCTCCCCACGATGTGGAGGTGCAGGTCGGGCAGCTCGTCGAGGCCCGCGCCGTGGTCGATCCATGACTCGCAGTCGAGCATCAGGTACTGCACGACGTCCGCCTTGGTCATGCCGCCCATGTTGAACGGGTTCACGCCGTAGATCCTGGTGATGGCTTCCGCCGCCTGCTCCTCAGCCGCCAGGAGGGCAGTGTAGTTCCGGAGGCAGCGGTCCCACTCGTCGCAGATGGTCTCCAGCAGCGCCTCGACGTGGTCGGGGGGGCCGACCATCATCGTCGTGCCGGAGTCAGGCACAGCGCCGCATGGGGTGTCCTGGTTCTCGGACAGGTTCTCGGGCGAGCAGAAGAGGGCGTCCGCGACCGTGTTGTTCTTGCCGACCGAGAAGCCCCGGAAGTCCAGGCCCCAGTGGGCCTTGCCGATGCCACCGTGAGAGTTCTCCATCTCCCTGGTGCCGAGGCGGAGCACCCCGTCGCCACCCGAGTTGAAGCACATCGAGAAGCGCGAGATGTTCGCCTGCTCCAGAAACCCCTTCGGCTGCGGGCGCTCGCTCATGGACTGCTGCGGCTGCCCGTAGGCGCGCGTCTCGTCGGGCTTGGCGCCCTTGACGGAGATGCCGCGCCCTGAGCTCTGCATGACCTCGCGGAAGGCCTCCTGGTTGGTCTCGTTGGTCGGGGCCGCGTCGTCGTCGCCCTCGTTCAGGATGCTGGTCACCTTGGAGCCGTTGAACGCGCCAGCCACGATCCTGTCGACCAGGTCCTGCAACGCCCGAGGCACGTCCTCCTTCTTCGGCTCGGACTGGTTATCGTCCTCCTCCTGCTGCTCGGGCTGCGGGCCGAAGTCGATGGGGACGCCGAGGCCCAGGATGCCCTCGAAGGAGCCCTTCTCAGCGGAGCCAGTGAGGGCACGGTCCGTCATCAGCACGAGACCGTCGTCCATGAAGGTCTGGACTGCCCCGACGCGGACTTTCTCCTGCGCGACCACGCCCTGAACCTGGCCGCTGCCGTAGCTCAGCACCATGCTGACGGGGGCGCCGCTCTTCTCCAGCATCATCCTGAAGGAGGACGAGCGGTTGGTGCCCTGGAAGCACCTGTCGGACTTGGGGCACCGGCCCTTCGCCTGGCAGGAGCACGAGGGGACGATCAGCGTGTTGCTGCCGGTGTCGGCGATGACGCTGAACAGCTGGGGTGGCGTGCCGACCGCCACGTCGATGCTGAAGTGCGTGCCCTGGTTGACCAGGTCCGTGCAGCCCTGGCCGTCGAGGAGCGGGGCGGCCTGCCTCCGCGAGGCCTGGTGGCCCGAGAGCGCCTCCGCCAGGAGCGGCGCGAGCGACAGCCCGGCCGCCAGCGCCCGGGCGGCCATCCCGGGAGCCCGCGTGGAGTTCGGTCTGTCGAGTGTGAGGACGGAGCAGCTTCGGCTCGCCTCGTGGAGCCGATGTGTAAGGCCTGAGCCAGGCCAGCCTGAGCCGAACTGGCTACGGAAAGGAGGGGGAAGAGGACGGGGAGAGGGGAAGCAGGAGTCAGACTCGCGGGAGGCAACCGCAGGAGCAGCAGCGACAGAGAGCAGGAGGACAAGCTGGTGGCCTCCAACGACCCGGCGTTTTGGAGTCACCAGCGCCTGGAGCACTCCACCGTTTCATCGGGACTGGCTTTTCATCCCGAACCCCAATGTTTGACAGCTCTGGGGCCTAGTAACTGCCGCTGTACTCAGAAAGTGACGAGAAGCATTCAGCGCGATCTTTTCGAATCGCAATGAGGCTACAGAGGAGCAGGGGTAGGAAGAGGTGCAAATGCGGATGCGCCCCAGCACGGGGCGACGGATGCTCTCGGGAGGGAATGGGAACTCGAGCGGCGAATCTCGGAGGGATGACTGGCAAGCGCCTACTCCTGCACAGAGTCTCGCGAGCCCCTATGGACTCGCAAGACAGCACATGCCAGCGCGCCAAAGAGGGGTGAGTGGAGGGGGATGGTATTCTAGGACATGTAAAGAGTCTGGAGCCTTCCAAGGCTCATTCTTAACAAGGGTAGGAGGGCTTTAACGAAGCTCAACTCGCCCGCCCTCACGCCGCCCCTCTGCGCGCTGCATTAATACCCTTGCCCTGGGGGCAACCCGAGTGCACTCAGGCAGTCCCTGACCTCAGCAGGGGGAGGGAGAGGGAGGAGGGAGCAAGAGAAGGGGGAATCTAACATAAAACAAAAGGAGGAGGAGGACACAGAGGCGAAGTAGGAGGCAATGATGATGAGGCGAAGGGTGGGCGCTTTCCTCCGACTGCTTGTCCTCGACCACCACTTTTTCCTCGTTTGCCTCCTCCTTCTCTTCCTCCTCCTCCTCCTCCTCCTTGTTCTTCTCCCTCCTCTTCCCCTCCGTCCTGCCCCCCCCCCTGGTCCCAAACGCAACGATTCTCATACTCTTGGTCCTCCTCGCATACTTTCCTTTTGTGGTCACAAGCCCGATGTCCACTTTGTACCCCTTTCCAAGGTGAAGAGCGCGCTCTCGACATTGTACTGCTGACTCTCTCTCATCTCTCCCTCTCTCTCTCTCTCAGATCTCTTTACAGCCCGCGCCCACTGTCTGGTGCATGCACCTCGCATGCCGTTCAGGGCCTTACCTGAGATCCCTTGCGGGAAGCCTCCCGGTCTCCGCACAGCGGAGCCATGTCAACGTCGCCTGAAACCTCCGCGCCGCCACTCACACGGACCCTGGCACCGAACGAAGCTCGGGTACAACGTGCCGTGTCGTCCGTTCCGTCGCGACCGCCTCGGCCGTGCGCCAGGGTCTGAACGCGTAGTCGGCCCTGCCTTTCATGCTGTTGCGCTCAGCCAGAAGTGCTGTGGCGGCGCGGCGCTTGCCCCGCGCGCGACGCACCAACGGTTCGCATCGTTGCGTCTCCCACTCTCTCTCTCTCTCTCTTCCTCTGTCTCTCTCTCTATCGCTCTCTTTCTCTCTGTCTCTCTAGTTATCTCGCACCCTCTGTGTATATATATATATATACATATATATACATATATATATATATACACGCACATGTCCGCCACCGTGCCTCTGGCACGGAGTGGAGCGCCCCAAAGCTCGTGCAACACTGAGAAGTGGAGGTTGCTGCTGCTGCTGCTGCTGCAGCTAGAACTGTAAGTCCTCTGGAGGCCCTACCCAACCGTGTCCCAGGACCGTCTTGGGCCGTCCCAGGCCGTCCTGGGCCGTACCGGGGTGTCCAAGGCTGGCTCCCGTGAGTTTTGGGGTGCTTCCTGCGGGTCCTCTGGTCGCTGCGGCCGCCCACCACGGTCGAAGAGAGCCCCGACTCGCCGAAACATCGCTCCAAAGACGCTGTTGATGGCCTCCAGGTGGCCCAAGACGCCTCCAAGACGCCCCAAAGAGGCCTTCAAGCAGAGGGCCCCAAGAGGCCAAAATCATTGATTTGCCTTCGGTGCTTGAAGGATTTGGGCGTTCTCGCCTTTTCGGCTTCCCGACGCTCCCATACGGCCCTAAAGGCCTCCAAGAACGCCCCAAAACCGCACAAGAAGCCCCCAAGGGGGCCCCACAACAGCTCAAGAGGGCCCCAAGACGGAACAAGAAGCCCCCAAGGGGGCCCCACAACAGCCCAAGAGGGCCCCAAGACGGCCCCAACAGGGGCCCAAAAGAGGGAGCACGAACTGAAAATCGAAGCCTTCCGCCCCCAGAAGCTTCCAGGAGACCGAAAGAAGCACCCAGGAGGCCCCACGAGGCCCCCAAGAGGGCCCCAAGAGGCCCCAAGAGGCCCCAAGAGGCGCACAAACGGCCCCCAAGAGACGTCCAAACTACCTCCAAAGAGGCCCCCGAGAAGCTTCCCACGAGATCCCAAAGAACATCCAATAGATCTCATGCCCATAACTCAGGGACGGTGGCGGGATGGGCCGAAGGCCGATATCCGCCGCCCCCTGTCGATTCATCGCAGGGGTGCCTGGCGTGCCGATCTACATGTGTTTTGGTGTTGTTTCTTTTTCCAAAAGAACTCCCCCTGGGGCTTCGGGCCGTTCCGGCGGTCACCCGGAAAGGTGTTCAAAACGCATCCGTCGTGCCTCTGTTTCCTCCAATTGTCCCAAGATGGCGTCCAAGACGGCCAAGATGGCCCAGGATGGTCTCCAAGACGTCTCCAAGACGCCCAAGATTGCCTCCAAGACGGCTAAGATGGCCCCGCGATGCCTCCAAGACGGCCAAGATGTACCCAACACGGCCTCAGATAGCCTCAGGATGGCCTCAACATGGCCCAAGACTGCCCAAGAGGCCACCAATACGGCCCAAATGGCCTCCAAGAGATCCTCCAGGAAGGCCCGAAGAGGCCAAACTCATTCATTTCCCTTATGTTTTTGAAGGATTTGGGGATTTGCGCATTCTCGGCATTCCGACGGCTCAAGACGGCCCAAGAGGCCCCCAAGATCGCCCAAGAGGCCTCCAAAAGGGCCCCATGACGGCCCAAGTGGCCTCCAAGACGGCCCCAAGAGGGCCCCAAGGCGGCCCAAGAGGCCTCCAACACGCCCAAGATGGCCTCCAAGACACCCAAGATGGCCTCCAAGACGGCCCCGAAGCGCCCCAAAAGGGCGCCAAATCGGCCCAGAAAGGCCCCCAAGACGGCTCCCGACGGCGTCAGAAGTGCCGAAGTTGGCTCGAAGCTGGCCCAAGACGGCCCAAGAGGCTCCCAAGAGGGCCTCCAGGAAGGCCTGAAGAGGCCCAAAACATTGATTCCCCCATAGGTTTTTGACGGATTCTGACATGTGCATATTTTCTGCCTTCCGACGGCCCAAGGGCCCCCGGAAGATCGCCGAAAGATCGCCCAAGAGGCCTCCAAGATGGCCCCAGAACGGCCTAGGAGGGCCGCAAGACGGCTCCAAGAGGCCCCCCAGACGGCACAGGAGGCCCTTAAGACGCCCGAGATGGGCCTCCCAGACGGCTCTGGAGCATTCCAAGAGGGCCCCAAGTCGGCCCATAGAGGCCCCTCAAATCTCGGGGGTGCTTGGCCATGGGTTGAAGCCGTTGAATACTGCGAGCGATGACTCCGCAACGCGTGGGGATCTGCTTCGAACTCTCTTAACACCTCCGCATTGGAAACTGGTACAACTACTCAATCACTCAGAAACCGGCTTCCAGAATAACGCAGCCATATTTCACTACGTTAGATTGGAGAAGTCCAGGCGCGCCCCAGCGAGAGGGGCCCGCATGTTCATCGCGCGCGCACCCAGTCCGCAGACGGCCACGTTGACGACCTGTCCCGCGAAGACGATGGCCCTGAACCTGAGCGGCGTAGATGATGCCCAGAAGTGCCTGTTTTTGAATGTCCCGCCCCCCCCCCCCCGCGTCTTACCCATTGCAGTTAGTCGCGCTGGCTTCCCTGAGATGAACCCTTGTGTCGCAGTGGCCCACGCCTCCGAGGTGCTCGCCGACGCCGTCGCGTTTCCCTCGAGGAGCCCTGGACTACCGTGAAACTGCCCGTTCATGTTTTGGGCGTCTTTTTTGCATCCTGCACTACATGTCGTTGCTCGTCTCTGTTATGTGCTCCTCCGATCTCCTCGAGTCCAGTATCCAGGATGATTTCCCCGAATGGCATAATTGACGAAGATGATGAGCTCGTCCGCCCATGATTTTCCCGCCCAAATCGCCCTCGAAGCCACCGGCGGCAAAGTCGACGCCTCCGTCCACGGGCCCAATCGGCACCGGAGAGAGCTGACGCTGACGTTGCCACTCGTCTCTGGCAACGCTGGGCACTGCCAGCTGAACCCCACGCTCATAAGCACTAACAAAGACCTTGGTGGGCGCATGATTTCCTGGCAAAGCGCCTTCGCGGATGCGCGCGCGCGCCGCGCGATCTATCCTTGACCATGAACGGGCTGTTCATTATTCCCAGTTCGATAAAATGTTCCTTCCCGGTCTTCGCTACCTCGGCGCGAGCTGCCGCGAGGCGATGCTTCTGCGCGCTGCAGACAACGTTGGTCGCGTCGCGATGCCCGGCGACATGGCGAGCGCCTGCGCACCTCAGTCTGGATGGGCCGCAGGGGTGCACCAGCGTCGCGTCTCCCCTGCGCCTGCAAACGGTGTCTCCGCGCATCCAATAGGGAAGTCGCGGCTTGTGGACCGGCGCGCCCCCGTAGAACTGGCGCCCCAGACCGCGCGGCAAAGCGATTGGTCTCTCACCTCCTGAGCCCCTTGTGCCGCCGTTCTTCGGGGGGCGACACGCGCTCGCTCGACGCCGGACAGCGCGCGTTCCCTCTTCGCGCCCGATGGCGCCCGCGAGGGGATCAAGGACATATCCAAGCAAAGGCGCTGCCCATTCTGGTCGGTCCTCTGCTTCGACGCCTGGCCTTGGTTCGGGTCGACGCAGCCACTTCGGACCCGCGCAAATGCGTGGCGCGCCGACTGGCGCGTTCCAGTCTGGCCGAGCCCGCCGAGAGGGAAGGGGCTTCGCTGCTCGCCGCAGGCGTCGAATGAAGCGCAATGCATAAACTCTAAGTTGCCCGAGATCTGGCCGGTCAGCGGGATCCATCTCTGGACACTCGACTGTCGCGCACTGATGCGTTGCGTCAATGAAGCTTTGATCACCATGGAGATCTGCGCCAAAAGCCAATTCCGCGCCCTGGTGGCTCAGGGAACTTCTGCAGCGCCACCCGCGCGCCCCCGCGAAAGTCGCGCCAGCTCAGCTTCTCTATCCACGCGGGCGAAGTGGCCCGAGACAACGCAGCCCGATGGCATATTCTTCCACGCGAACTTCTGCAGGCACCAGCCACTAGCCTCGATATCTTGCGCGCCCCATGAAACGATTCCCCTCTGCGCCTCTGCCCGCGCCTCGGTGCGTTGGCGATTGCGTCGTCCAATGGGCGGCTTCTTCTCCTGCTGCTTTAAAGCGCTGCTGCGTCTCGCAACTTCTGCATTCAATTATTATGGGAACTCTGCTTCACGGAGCTTGGCTGCCCGTCGTTGTTGGAGTAAGTCTGATAGACGAGAGTTGGCTATGATGTATTCTTCTCGCGCCTCCTGATCGCCATGTGGACCTCGAAGTACCTCAACTGCTGCAGTTCCAAACATGTGGCGTTGCCCCTGCGTCGATCTCCGTCCAACGACAAGGCGTTGCACGCTTCTAAACTGCCCTTGCTGATCTGAAACGGCTTGTTCCACTCAAACGTATGCCACACTGAAGGACATACTGGAAGATGGTCTTTCCGCTGGGCAAATCTGATACGCTGCAATTTGCGACCTCTTTTTCTCGCCACATGCCAACCGCCTACGTTGAACACCATGCTGGACGGCATCGCGGTATAGTCCAGCCTCCGCTGCACTTCCGCCTGCACTCCATGGTACGTGGTCCCAGTGTCTTAGACGTGTTTGCCAAGTGTAGTTGGCTTGCCTGTAACGTCGGTCGAAATTGACGATAGTTGGGCCGGTCCCGTTCTGATGCTGCATCTTCTGCGACGGGACGAGCAGACTGCTGAGCTCCACATGGACCATTGAGATTTATTCCGATAAGAGGTGCACATCCAGTAGGTAACGAATCGAATCTGGCCTGAATCCATTCCACACGAGTTCTGGGCGCATCCTTCTTTTGTCTGGCAACTGCACCTCGTCTTGCGCCCCTCGGGGGAACATAACATGACATGAAGGAAGGGTCTTGTCGTCCTCTGCGGTACCTGCTGCAAACCGCGCGCCCCTGAAGCTTGCTTTCTCCGTTCACGACCTGGGTGACGAAGTTCTTCGGGTGCTACGCTTTGCTGGGACCAATCGCCACCCCACGTGCCTTGTTGCTGTCATGACTGCGACCACCATACCAGTATACATGTGAAAGCGTGTGCGCATGTTGTACCTTCTTCGTCCACGCTGCTCGAAGTTGCGCGCCCTGCAATAAAGTTGAATCGAACCTCGTGAACTCGCTTGTGATGTCCTGCAGCCATGCAGTCGCTGCAAGTGCCATAGGGTTGAACGAAAGGAAACGCAGCAGGCGCCAGCCGCCACTACTCCTGCTCATCAGACACATGTGTTTGGCACGGGTACGAGAGGAGCTAGAGTATCGGTGCCTTCAGTCCCCTGGAAATGGCTTGAGCATTGGCGGCGACGACATTTTCTTTATAAATATATATATATATATGTATGGATACGCAAATATAGACGTGTATGCAGGCATGTCTGTGTGCATGTATGGATGTATATGTATGTGGATGGGGTGCATGCGCGCACGTATGTCTGTTTCTATGTACGTATGTATGAATCTAGTACGTAAGTATGTGTGCATGTAGACATGTATGCATATATGCATGGATGCGTGAATGCATGTATGCATGCATGTATGACTGTGTACATGTATGTATGTATGTATGTATGTATGTATGTATGTATGTATGTATACATGGATACATGTATGGACATGTGTATATGTGTAAATGTGAATGTACGAACGCACGAATGCTTGCATGTATGCATGTGTGCGCGGATGGATGTGTGATTGCATGTATGTGTGTATGCATGTTGTATGTGTGTATGTGCATATGCATGTTTGTTTGCATGCACGTCTGTCTACAATATGCATTTCGGCATGCGTATGATGACGAATGCTTGATTGTATGAAGTATGTACGTGCGCGTATGATTGTATGTGTGTGCATATATTCTGCTGCATGTAACCACATACGTCTTCGCATACATAACACAATCGTGCAACCACATGTAGCTATATTCATCTACATCTGTATAGTTACATACACATACGGACAACGCTATATATCGAAGTTTGCTTGTATGAATGTGTATATATATATATAATTGACGTGGTGCATCGGGATCCTGCCGATCGCCGCGGCGCTGCCGGCCGCCCCCGTTGCTGGGCTCGTCGGCGACGATGCCGTGCTGCTCCCCATGGCCCCAATCGTAGTGGACCACGAGGTGGTCGCCTGCCAGGGGGACGGACAGAAATCACGACCAAACATTGTTTCAGTTTACTGCCTCATGGGGGCCATCGCAGGCCCCAGGGCCGCCAAAAAGCAGATCAGGATGCCAAGGCGGTCCTGGGGAGTGGGTCGAGAACTCTTGGAGTCCACGTCGAGGAAAAATCTCGACGCTGGGGGTCTGAGAGCCCTGGTCCTGGCCAGCCCAGCTCTGGCCCAGGATCTGTGCTGTGTGCCCTCCGGGCTCGGCCAGTAGGGCGTGCACACTGCTCCCAGGAAGACGTCCGCGGCGTGTATACTGCTCCCAGTAGGGCGTGTACACTGAAAAAAAGCCCCCGCGGATCCGTGGCCCGGGGGGGGGGGGCTGGAAGCCCCGCCGGCCCTAGGCAACGGGCCCAAACCGGTCAGGAGGGCGGCCAAACGGCCCTGCGAGAGGCCTAAAGGGCCCTAGACACCCACCAGACGCCCAAACACGACCCAAAGAAGACCCCCAAAAGGCTTTCGAAACACATGGAAAATACAGATTTCCTATAGCTTCTGTATAATTTCGGGAATGCTCTGTTCTTTGATCTCCCTGGCGTCCGAGACCGCCCAGGAGAACAGAAAATCGCCCGCAAACTATCTCAAAGGGCTTCCAGGCAGTCCAAGAAAGCCCCAAGACCCTCCAAGAGGGCCCCCAGATGGCCCGAAGAGAGCCCCATGACGGCCTAAGATTGCCCCAAGACGCCCCCCGAGGCATTCCAAATCATGGCCGGGTCGTTCAGGTAGACCGCGGTTGGAAGCAGGGTGGCCCGAGGAAGCCCCAGAGCCCTCCGGAAGGAACGCAGAAGCCTTCAGAAGGCCCCAAAGAAGCCCTTAACACCTTCGTGGTTCCCCAAGATGCTCTCCAATGTGGAGCCTCTATACAAAAAGCTGAGGAGGATGGGGACAAATTCGAAGGGTAGGGCGAGAATAAGGAAGCGGAAGAGGAAGCATAAGGGAAGAATAGCGAATAATTTATTACGACGACACTGGAAGGTAATACAGAGTTATCGCTAATTCGTCCGTTGAATCATCTTCCTGCCCTCCCGCCTGCATGCCAAACATGAAGGATCAAGGTGCATGTCGCGAATCTCCATTGCAGTCCTGTGTGTACGTATATGTGTGTACGTACGTACGTATGTACATGTGTTGGTATGTACGTGTGTATGAGTGAATGCATGCATATCTGTATGCATGTACATATGTACATATGTACATACGTATGTATGGATGCATGCATGCATGTATGTACGTATGTATATGTGTATGTATGTGTATGCGTATATGTGTATGACTATGTATGTGTGTATGTACGTATGCATGTAAGTACGTATGTATGTTTGTTTGTGTATATGTATGTATGTACATATATCTATGTATGCATACATACAAATTCCACAACGAGTGCTGGCACCAAGAGTATCTTAGCTGTTTCCCAAGCGGTGCTTGCACTTAGGGACTCTCACTGATGCTTTAACGAACTGGGCCCATGTGTCGGTCTGGCGGCTATGCTCCGCCGTCGCCGCCTCGTCACCGCCCGTCGTCTGGGCCTGGGTGCCGTTCTGGCAACGATATTGCCGCCGTCGCCGCCCTGGTGCCGCCTCTTGCACTTAGGGAGGTCTTGCTTGTGTCCTAAGGAACTGGGCAAGGGTGCCAGTCTGGCCGCTATGTTGCCGCCGTCGCCGCGCCGTCGCTGCCCGTCGTCTGGGCTTGCGCTGCTTCGCGCGAAGGAACTGTGCCTGGGTGCCGGTCTGGCGGCCATGTTGCCGCCGCCGCCATCCCTTCGCCGCCGCGTGCCGCCTTTTCGCCGCCCCGTCGCCGCCCGTGGGCCTGCACCGCTTCGCAGTGCTTTGCATTGTTGCGCCGTGCTTTGTCTTGTGTTGCATTGCATTGCGTTGCTTTGCGTTTCTTTGCGTCGGTTTGCATTGTAGAGTGCTCAACACAAACTGCACCACATGCATTGCAATACATTATATATACATACGCACACAACAGATTGCACAACATAGGTTGCACTGCATATGTTGCACCCATAAATTGTTCCACATAGGTTGCACAACGCGGATTGCTAGAAACACGCATTGTTTGAGATCCACGCTGGCTGCCATGTTCTGATGGTCTGGGCCTGGGCCACGCTGGCCAACATGTTCTGATGAACTGGGCCTGGGTTCTGGTCTAGACGCTATACTGCCGCCGTCGCCGCCCCGTCGCCGCCTCGTGGCCGCCCGCCGTCTGGGCCCGTGTGCCCGTCTGGCGGCTATGCTGCCGCCGTCGTCGCCCCGTCCCCGCCGCGTCGCCGCCCGTCGTTTGGGCCCGGGTGCCTGTCTGGCGGCCACGTTGCCGCCGTCGCCGCCCTGTCGGCGCCCCGTCGCCGCCTCGTCGCCGCCCGTCGCCTGGGCCTGCCTTCGCACGAAGGGGCCGGGCCTCGGCGCCTGCCGGTCTGGCGGCTATAGTGCCGCCGTCGCCGCCCCCGCGCCGCCTCGTCGACGCCCGTCGACTGGGCCTACGTTGCGTCGCATTGCGTTTTGCGTTGCTGTGCTGTGCTTTGCACCGCGCTGCCTTGCATCGCGCTGCACTGCTGCGCATTGTTTTGCATTGCTCTGCGCGGCTTTGCATTGCATGTCATTTTTCGTTGTGCTTGTTCCCCCAACAGCGTTTGCCACCGCATTTCTTGTTCCACATAGATTACCCTTCCTTTGCAAGAAAATCTACCACCACCACCCCTGGGTTCATCGCTTCCCCCTGGGAGAATACAATTTACGTATGACGCTGCCTCATCGCTCCTTTGAGCTCTGAATTTGCACCATCCCAGGGGGGGAGCCTGATCGCCCCCTCCTCCCTGTCAAGTGGCACCATGCGCACAAGCACTCGTTTATCAAACATTCTCAAGTTGCAACACGCCCTTCGAGAAATCGCGCGCGTCGTCGCGCGCTCTTCCAATACCTCAGTTTGGGGAAGAGAGTTTCAATATCGAGGCTCCCGAAAACATACGAACACACACGCACTTGTTTGCAACATGGGGCGCGCTTTCGCGAATTTGTGCGAAAACTTGAATCCGCCGCCCCCCCTGTGGGGCCAACAGGCTGTAGGCCGAAGTGTGCTGCTCCCTGCGCCAGTTGCAGTTTCAAGTCCCCAATGTTACAGTCCTGTTGTCTGCTTCCTACTGTAAATTGTTGAAGTCCGCGCGAGGAGGGGAGCCCCAACCGCCCAATTTACCATGCCCGGATCGCGTGCTCTGAATTGCTCGGGGGGGCGTGGGACAAAAAAATCGTGAGACTCGCGCCCCCGAGGCCACAATCCTTTGTAAGTTACGCGTCCCCGAGGCCACAAACCCCGTACATTACACAATTCTTGCGTCCCCGAGGCAACACACCCTCGTAAATTACGCAATGCTCACGCGCCCGAAGCCATAGACCTCTTACACCATATTCGCATTGCCAAGGCCAAGAGTGATCCAAGGCGCCCGAAGATGGTTCCAAGACCCAAGAAGGCCCCAAGAGCGCTCCAAGATGTCTCCCAAGAGAGAGGCCCAAGAGGCAAAAATCGCCGACTTCACGAAGGTTGTTGAAATATTTGGGCGCCCCAAGACAGCTGAAGAGGCCTCCAAGAGGGCCCCAAGACGGCCCAAGAGGGCTCCAAGATGGCCCAAGAAGCGCTCAAGACGGCCCAAGAAGCCCCCAGACGGCCCCAAGAGGGGCCCAACCAGGGGACCGCGAACCGAAAATTCTAGATCTGTGCACCGAGAAGATCCCAGGATGCCCCACGAGGCCGCCAAGAGACCCCAAGAGGCCCTAAGAGGCGCCCAAGACGCGCCCAAGAGGCCTCCAAGAGGACCAAAAAGATACCCCACGAGGCCACAAGAGGCCCCCCAAAGCGCCCCAACCGCCTCCAAGAAGCCCCCGACACCCCAACACATATGCAAGAGGCCTCAGACCCACAACCCAGGCAAGGTGGCGGGATGGGCCGAAGGCAACTAGGATCCGCCGCCCCCTGTTGATTCATCACAGGGGTGCCCGGCGTGCTGAACCCTTTCGGCTTTGGCTTTTTTGTTTTTAAAAAATTAAACAAAAACTCCCTGGGACTTCGGCCCGTCCCGCCGGCCACCCGAAAGGCCGCACAAGGCAGCATACCCCAACGTCCGCAAAAAATTCTACAAGACGGCTCAAGATGGCCTCCAAGATGGCCACGTTGGCCCAAGATAGCCTCCAAGATGGCTCCAAGTCCGCCAAGATGGTCCAAGATGGCCTCCAAGACGGCCCGAGAGCTCACGATGCCTTCAAGTTCTTCCAAGAAGCCTCCAAGACGGCCCAAGATGGCTCCAAGATTGCCTAAGACTGCCCAAGAGGCCCCCTAAGAGGCCCCCAAGACGTCCTCCAGGAAGGCCCGAAAGGGCCAAAATCATAATTGTCCGTGGGTTTTTGCAGGATGTGTTTTTTTTCTTCGTATCAGCTCTCCGACGGCCCAAGACGGCCCAAGAGGCCCCCAACATCGCCCCAAGAGCGCCCAAGAGGTCCCCACGATGGCCCCTATGACAGCCCAAGAGGCTCCCAAGAGGGCCCTAAGAAGAGCCCAAGACGGCCCAAGATGGCCCCGAAGACGCCCAAGATGGCCTCCAAGACGGCCAAGATGGCCTCCAAGATGCATCCAAGACGGCCAAGAAGGCCTCCAAGACAGCGAAGATGGCCCCAAGATGCACCCAAGACGGCCCCAGATGGCCTCAAGATGGCCTTAGACTGCCCAAGAGGCCCGCAATAGGCCTCCAAGACGGCCCAAACGCCCTCCAAGACGTCCTCCAGGAAGGCCCGAAAGGTCAAAATTGCCTCCAGACGGCCAAGATGACCTTCAAGATGCCCCAACCTCCTCCACGTGTTCCCCGAAAGCTTTCCAAACAGATTCGGGGAACACTCGTCCCGAAAGATTGGCAAGGATCTGACCCAACCTACGGCCAGCAGGCCCCAAGACGCCTCCAAAAGCTCACAAGAACG